TAATGTAATCGGTTTGCGATGCCTTTGAATCAAGGGTTGAAGTGCTTGTTGCCTCAGTGCTTCCAAATGTGTACACGAATCATCTGGAATCCTGTTAAATACAGATTCTGATTCAGGGTGTCTGGGTAGAGCTTGAGATTCTGCCCATCAAACAAGCTCCCAGGTGATGAGGAGGCTGCTGGATCCCAGACCACACTTGAATGGCTTCAGCTTGTTTCTCAGAGAGGAAGGCGTGGGTTTACACGCCGTGAGAGTCAGTAAACATGTTTCTGCCATGATCCGGACTCTAGCAGAATTGCTTGGTAAAAAGAGCACTGGGTCAAGAGGCCTGACTTATACCTCCAGTACTTCCCCCAATTAGCTATAAGACAAGTCTTTTAAAAGTACTTCAGTTCTTCACTCTCTTATCTCTAAAATGAGATGGTTGAACCAGATAAATTCCTCCCCAAAGTTCCCTTTGTTCCTACCTCTCCTGTTCTGGTTCAAGATTTTTTCAGGAACCAGGGACCAGGTTTTTATGTGGAACTGTGCTCTGTAGTTAGGACCCTTTCTTCCCCAGGGGCTGGGGCCTAGCCCTCAACTTTGGATTAATTGGGGGAAATAACACATGTCAAAAAATTAAAGAAAACTTTTTAAAAAAAGATTTTATTTATTTGAGAGAGAGGGAAGAAGCACAAGTTGGGGGAGGGTCAGAGGGAGAGAGAGAGAGAAGCAGACTCCCCCTGAACAGGGAGCCTGATGTGGGGCTCAATCCCAGGACCTTGGGATCATGACCTGAGCCAAAGGCAGATGCTTAACTGACTGAGCCACCCAGGAACCCCCCAAAATTAAAGAAAACTTAATGTTGAATTGTAAGCTATCGCAAGTACAGGAAGAATGCAGGAAAGATAGAGTTGGGTGTCTACCAGAAAAGTCAGTTGAGATTTGAGTCAGTTATCATTTATTGAGCCAGATGGGCTGTAGTGCTAGCTCAGGGGGGCAGTTCTCATGCTTTTATGTTTGGTTGTTTCTACAAAAACAAACCTTCAACAGTGAAGAACAAAACATATTTTTCTGCCTTAAATTAAAACAGTGTAGGAGAAAAGCCTACTTTCGTGGAAGTAAATGTTTGAAAGGAAGCTAAAATGCTATAAACTGTTTTTTTTTTTCTATACTTAATTTTTCAAGGCTTATCTTGACTGTTGAAAGATTGATACCAATAAGAAAATTATCATGACCAGATAGAGGCTGAGTCAAAAACCCTTCTGCATTTCCCTATAGACACTAATAAGTAGCATCAGAAATTACCTAAAATAGAAATAAAATACCTTAAATTATAGGTAATATTAAAAATGACATATTTCTTTACTTTAATTCATTGGAAAAGAGATCAGATAATACATTTAGATTTTATAACATAGGTGCATAGGAATTTTGGACTTAACCTCTTGATGTCAAAGGAAGTGTATTTTACCTTGTAATTAGGGTTTTACTAAATTATAGTTTGCCTTAGGAAGAGGTTGTATTATCAGCGCTCATAAAATAGAATAGTTACTCTCATTTGATAAATCAGATTCAGTACAAAAGTTTAGTTCTAACTCTTCTCTGAATACTTAAGAGTTTTTTTTTTCCTGTATAGCTAGATTATTTTTAAATTGCAAACTGCTTGTACTTTTTGTCCCACAATCACCTACTATTGATGGCTTTACTATATTTGGTAAACCCTCTATATCATCAGCTATTGCTTATCTGTTATAATGAGGGTAATCATATAATACAGTAGAAACCATGTAGTTTATTCATTCAAGTCAAAGTATTTTATTGTTTAAGAGATTCTTTCTGCGGTCGTAGGAGGCTCATTTTCAACAATAGGAAAACCTCATCTAGTTTTAAACTAATAACATTTATTAGGTTAGGGTACAGCTAGCTTTAAGTGTGGTTGGTGTGAACACTGTAATCAAGAACTGGTCTGTCTGCATCTTGTGGCATTGCTTTCCTCTGCATTGGCTTCATTCTTGGGCTTCATTTGATTACGTGATGGCTGCCAACACTGCCAGGGCTTTATCTTCCTGGTCCAAATCCAGTAGAAAAGAGAATATCCTCCCCCACCCCCTAACCCAAGTCCTGAACTGTATTTCACTGGCCCTGAGTAGATTTCTTGCCCTCCTGAATCTCTGAGGCCAGTAGAACTGATGCTCCTATTGGCCGGCAGAGTCTGGTGTCCACACTGATAGGGGACAAGGGAATGATTCCTCGGAAGGAGGTGGGCTACTGTTTCAGAAGAAGAGGAAATGGATACGTGATGTAAAAAGCAAGAGCAACAACTACAATCCCTACATCTTTCTCAATTTAAGCCAATATTAAAAGTCTTTTTGTTGTCTAAAGATTGTAGTGGTGGAAGGCCCTCAGGTGTACTTTGCATTTGGATGATGCAGAACTAGAATTTAAAATGATAATTCCATCTACAAAATGTATAACTTTAAAGAAATAATTAAGGGTGTTAGTGCTGGGGTGACGAGGCGGCTCTGTTGGTCAAGCGTGGGACTCTTGGTTTCTGCTTGGGTCTTGTTCTTGGTGTTGTGAGATTGAAACTCCCATGGGCTCTGCTCTGGCACAGAGTCTGCTTGAGATTTTCTCCTTCCCTCTCTGCCCTTCCTCCTGCTCATGCCCGTGCACTCTCTCTCTCAAATTAATAAATAAAGTAAAATATTTTAAAAAGATTTTATTTATTTATTTGAGAAAAAGACAGAGAGAGAGAGCATGAGAGGGGAGAAGGTCAGAGGGAGAAGCAGACTCCCCGTGGAGCTGGAGCCTGAAGTGGGACTCGATCCCAGTACTCCGGAATCATGACCTGAGCCAAAGGTAGTCGCTTAACCAACTGAGCCACCCAGGTGCCCCTAAAGTAAAATATTTTTTAAAGGTAGTAGTATTGGCTACCTGATAGCTTACAATACAGAGAGGAAGGATATTTAAATATTTAACAATCTGTGACAGTGGCATCAATCAATCAAAATAAGTTGGGTCCAGCCAATAGATCTGGTGCTGAGCAGGACCAACCAGCAGGGTTCTTATGTGAGTGCTGATGGGATGTCAGCCCAGCTAACTGGGAGACATTGTAGAGGGGCTGCCAGATTTCTTAGAAAATATAGTTCCTCTGTTAGTTTCCTAGAGCTACCATAACAAAGTACCATGAGCTGATTGACTCAAAACAAATGTATTCTCTTCCAGTTCTGGAGGTTGGGAGCTGAAAATCAAGGTGTCTACAGGGCCAGGCTCCCTCTAAAGTCTAAAGAGAACTTTTCCTTTCCTCTTCCAGCTTCTGCTTGTTGGTGGCAGTTGTTGGCATTCTTTATCTAATAGATGCAGCGCTTCAGTCTTTGCCTCTGTCTTCCCCTGCCCTTCTCCCCTGTGTGTCTGCGTCTCTATAGCCAAATTTTCCTCTTAAAAGGGCACTATTCATATTGGATTCAATATTCAGTTGGATACCCTATTCCAGTATGACCTCATCTTCACTTTATTACATTTGCATAGACCCTGTTTCCCAAATAAGGTCACATTCACAGGTTCCAGGGGGCACATGAATTGTGAAGGGACATTATTCAACCTAGTACTATTACCTAGAATCCAATGCTTTTCCATAGTTGGCATGATACAATTTTTTAAAAAGATTTATTTATTAATTTTAGAGAAAGAGTGAGCAGAGGGGAGGGGCAGAGGGTGAGGGAGAGAGAGTCTTAAGCAGACTCCACGCAGAGCACAGAGCCTGACATAGGGCTTGATCTTGACCTGAGCTGAAACCAAGAGTCAGATGCTTAACCAACTACGCCACCCAGGCGCCCTGGCATGACACAAATTAAAAAAAAATAAATTCAATATTGAATCACTCACAAACACTGTAAAAATTTTCTTATTATGTAGTTAAAAACTGAATTTTTGAATCTTAGTAAAATTATTTAAGTGAATTATGAATGGTTTTAGTTGGAATGCTATTCTGTACTTTTGTTGCTGCATCAGATTAATCACATTTCCTTAATTATAACTATTAAATTCTGTTAAAATGTGAGTGTTAGTGTGACGGTTTGGTGGAGAATTAATAATACTCATTAATGTGTGAGTATGTTTGTGTATGAGGAGGTATTACATTTTATACATGACTTTATTGAATTCAACGAAGTTTTGCTTTTAAAAAATGGAACTGACCACTATTAGATAAACAGTGTATTTAAGAGCAAGTATAAGACAGAGGTGAGGAATACAACTGGTGAAGGGCTTGGAAATCATATCTTCTATGGAACATTTGAAAATGATGGTAATTGTTTTCAAGTCTATGAAGAATGGCTTTGTGGAAAAGAGTTTAGATTCTGGAGAGCAGAACTAAAACCAGTGAGTTAAGGTTAAAAAGAAACATTTCAGTGCAATATAAAATGGTCTTTTCTCAGTGAACTATGTAGCACATACCAAAATGGAGGTGGTAGTCATATAAGGAAGTAAAGCAAGGGTTCCTGGAAGTGCTCAGGTAGGCACTGCGTAATTATCTCCCTGTGATGTTGTGATGGAGATCTTGCCTTGAGCAAGAAATTAAAATGGAAGGTCCCTTCTAACTTCAAGATCTGTTGCAAGTCTTCTTTAAATTTCTCTTTTTATATAGGCCATGAAATCAATATTAATGTGTGAGAAAGTATTTCTGTAAGTTTAAACGCTTTTTAACAGCTGCCAACCTGAGGTTTTGCTCTATGACTTACGGGCTATGTACTGCTTGGAAGAAAAAGGTGGGGGGCTACCTAAAAGAAGGGGAAACATCATTAATAAGTGAGAAAAGTAGGGGATTAAAACTTCTGTTCAATGAATACCTACTATATGCAGGGTTTATTTGATGAGTTTCTTTATCCATAATATATCTCATATAATTTAATGTACTTAATTTTTTATTACTCGGTCTGGAACTTACAAGAAACCATAGCTCTTAATATGATGAATTCTTAAAATGGCATTTTCTTATGTATTCTTCATGTGGAACACAGGACTGTTCTGAAGGCTACATGTGCAAAACACAATTTCTAATTAAACCTGGGACACTGGTATCACATCCGGGAACATCTGCCCATGTCCAGACATGTCTTCCCGTGGAGGTAAGTGGCTTACTAAATCATATTCTCCCTTTCAGTCTTTGTGAAGTATAAATGAAACAATTTAAATCTGTTAAATATGTATTTGAAAAAAATAACTGGCATTGGATCCTGGGCCTACCCTAGGGGCAACATTGAACATCATTGGTTAGGAGATATTTTCTTCTATAATATTGAAAGCAGAAATTGTGGTAAAGTTAAGATCCGCTCTGAGTCAATACAGACTGTGGATCTGAAGACCATAGATGCCTTCCATTGCCTGTTGACTTTTCTCCAGTGAAATCCTCCCAGGACAGCACAGACCTGTCCCTCAGCTGATTAGTACGTGGCTGGAGATCTCTTTGCCTAGGCTGTCTGCATTTAACTGTTTTCTCCTATGCCCGTTAAAATATTCTGGATCTGGGTCTCATTCCTTAGGGGACTTTAACCTTGACTTGAAATTCTTGGTAAATTAAATATTAATAAGGTGCTAACGGCTTAGTGATTTTCTGGGATATTTTCAATTTTATTTTTATCAAAATGCAAATAGCCTTCTTGTATTGTTATTGTTAGTAAGGAAATTTTTAATATATCCATGGCAAAAGCAAACAATAAAGAAATATGTAAAGAGTAGAAAAAACTCCCATATGTCCTTTAACTGGAGATAGCCACTTTTAATATTTTAGTAAATATCCTTCCACACATTTTCTATCATCCAGACGCATATATATTTTTCCTTTTTTGCAATGAACAAGTCATATATCATGGAGATCTTTCCATGTCAGTAAATGTAGAATTCCATAGTTCTTTTTAAATGGCTTCATTGCATTCCATCCTATGGATATATCATAATTTTGGAGAGCCCATTCTGAAGTAAAATACTTGAATTCTAAAATAGAATTAGTAGAGATCTAATTGTTTCAACACAGTGGAAGAAAATACTAATGTTTGGAATTCTGAGCATCCTGGTAAATGGCAGAGGACACTTTTCTTGTGAAGGAAGAGCCCTTTCTTGGGACCTGTTAAATCAGTCTGATTTGGCAATCCAGCGTTAGCTCTCCCCTCCCCCCACCCATATAGGACACTGCCCTGAAGTAACTCTTGCCAGTGTAATTCAGTTTGCAAGTTATTCTTGAGGGTATTGTATTTGGTAATAAGCTGAGTGCCCCTGAGTGGGTACTCAAATCCTGATTACTGCTTCATAGTTCAAATAGCCAACATCAAATCTGAGGCCAAGCATTTTAGGAAGCTTTTCAATTCATTATATATTAACTTTAAAAATGCACATGGAAATGGTGATTTTAAAGATGAATTTCCAGTTTATGCCTGACACATTGGTAGTGATTGGAAAGCATTAAAATGTGGTGTTGACAGTGTGAGGGAACTGACACTTTTTGGTTGATGTTCTAACTTCACAGAGTATAAAGATGGCCACATACTATGAACAATTTTTTCCAATTCTAGGAATTAACTTCATAAAATAGAAGTCTTTTCAACATTTTTCATTTTAAACATTTTCTAAAAAATTTCAAACATGAAAAAGTTGCAGAAATTTTGCAGTCAACATCCTTATTGTTATCACCTAGTTTCTACCATTAACATTTGCTGTGTTTGCTTTAATATATATCTGTCCCTCTATTCATCTATCAGTACATCTTATTTTTTGATTTAATATTTTTACTTCAAAGTAGATTACAGACAAATATCCATAGAATAATTAGAAATGTACACAGATTTACCTGCAAGTATATTCGTCTCAACATTATTTTTACTAGGAAGAAATGGGAACTACTGAAATGTAAAACAATAATGGATTGGTTAATGATGGCACATCTCTATGATGGCATTTTTGATTCAGTAGGTCTGAAATAAGGCCTGAGAGTTTGCAGTTCTAACAAGTTCCCAAATTCTACTGTAGCTGCTGATCAGGGATCACATTTTGAGAACCACTGCATTGATCTATGATAGAATGCTTGGCATATTTGAGATGCTGTACAGCTGAGATGGTTAGATCATTAGTTAGATCATTAATATGATATATGACAGAGTCAATATTACAATAATCTTGGTGGGATGAAAGATGTCTCAGGTTGGGTTTGGCAGAAGCAGAGCCTGGGATGGAGTTGCCTGTTCAAGTGATTTGTTAGGGATGGGCTCTTAGAAGAAAGAGAGTGACAGAAACAGAATAAGACAAGGGATAAAAGCTAAGGAAGAATGTGGTCTCTGTTAGAAACTAACTGATCTGATCCCGTGGGAAGCTACGGAGCACAAACTACACCCAGAATTAGTTCCACTTTGTGTCATTGGGATGGGTCTTTTGTACTCTGTGACAGTTATTGGCTTGTCATTCAGTCATTGGGTAAAGTGGAGATGAAGGTAGCTTCCCAAACCAGGTGGCTCCAGTGTTATTAATTCTGCTGTGTGTTGTTGTCAGCTAACAATCAAAATAGCTAAGTGAGGATGGGTGTACTGACCTTAAGGGAGCTAAAATGGGCATCACTAGTGTCCACTACCAAAGAGTGATGTGAAACCAACAAAATGAGATATCTTCAGGGAACTATATATTTAAGTTCTGTATTTAGATGAAAGGAGGGAGACAATGCTGTTTTGGAAAGGTGTTTATTTTTCAAAGAAATATTTCATAGAAATATGCGATTATGTTAACATGTGTTTTAAATGAATGAATTAATTATAAAGTTTGGTTTTAACTGCTAATACAGTGAATGTCAATAGATAAAACTCTCTTAAACAGAAGCTCATTGGGATCTTCAGTGATTTTAAATGTGAAAACAGGTCCTGAGACCAAAAAGTTTGAGAACCATTGATGTAGAACAAGGAAATATTTCATTATTACATATGAAGAGCTCTGATAACTAGAATATATAATAAACATACAAGTAAGAGTTGAGAAATCATAATAAATAGAATATTTATCATAAGTAGAATTCATTCAGACAGAGAAACATCCCAGGGGCCATAAGTAGGCTTGCATATATTGCTATGAGGAATATTTGGGGCTCTGGAGATGTTAAGCTGGAAGTGAAGACCTGGGAAAGTTAGTTGTCTTCAGATATCTAGAAGCCTGTTCTGTGGAAGAGAGAATAATAAGCTTACTTTGATTCTGAGGACAGAACTGGTTTGTGTTTGGAAATTATTTTAGAAATTCTCAATAATGTTTAGCGTTGTCTACAGTGAAATTGGTCAACTTGCAAAGTTGTATGCTTCCTCCCCTTTCATGATGTTTAGCAACAGAGTGAGTGTAGTGAGTGGTCATCAACTGAAATGCTTGGTTGCTTAAAACACAGCCGGATGATGGGTGAGTGAAATGCGCTGATGGGAAATGCGGTGGAGAAGTGGAGAAGGCATGACTCATCCAATAGGGGCAGCAGACCTGCAGCTCCAGGTGGATTTTAAAGACGAGGCAAAGATCTGGATTTTTGTGCATTGGCTTAATTAAAACAAAACAAAACATAAACTGTGGAGGTCATGTAGACTATACTTATGGGCTGTAGGTTATCCTTAGGCCACTGCCCTATAACCTAACCTCTTTTATTATAGAAAGGAGTCCTGCACTGTAGAGAAGACTAAGCTAGGGGACCTCTGAATTCTCTTTAGACTTTAAAGCCCAAAAGTTCCATATCTCTCTGTTTCCAATTTAAAGATATTCTAATAGTTGTTTCAGTTTTGTTTTTTTTTTTTTTTAATTTTGGCCATGTATAATGTGGGAAACTTGTCCTTCCTTGTTCTAACCAGAATCAGCATTCTTGATTGTAGAAAGATAGCTGGTTTCATAATTTCTTAGGAAATAAGAGTATCTACAATGGTATGTAGATAATCACAGGATTTTAAAAATTTATTTGTTTATTTATAGTTATTAATTCTTAAAAGATTTTATTTATTCACTTGAGAGAGAGAGAGAGAGAGCACAAGCAGGGTGAGGAGAGGGAGAAACAGGCTCCTGCTGAGCAGGGAGCCCAACACAGGGCTCTGTCCCAGGACCCTGGGATCATGACCTGAGCCACCAAGTGACCCTGATGACTGGATTTAAAAAAAAAATTTTTTTTAAAGATTTTATTTACTTATTTGACAGACAAAGATCACAAGTAGGCAGAGAGCCCAATGCGGGACTCGATTCCAGGACCCTGGGATCATGACCTGAGCCAAAGGCAGAGGCTTTAACCCACTGAGCCACCCAGGCGCCCCTGACTGGATTTTTAAAAGCAAAGCAACATATAATGGAATATATAAGTGAAGTAGTTTGTGAGAATCATAATCATTACCTTCTTTGCATTTTTAACATGCAATTCAAAATGATGATTAAAAGAATAAGATGGTATTCAGAAATCTAAATTTACTAGGGTGTTCTTTAGTACTGGTTTGGGAGAACAGGAATTCTTATAGTTTAATCATATTAGATAACATTTATTGAGAGTAGTTAATATGATTTGCTTGTGACATTTCTGAGTTTGTGAAATAAAAACCAAGACTCTGGCAGTTTTTGAACAAGATATTTTATCAGTGACTGAAAGAAATCCATTCCCTCAATTTAAAATCTTGATATTTTCACCAGGACCCACAACTCTGGTCCTTGAAATATCTTATGTAACACTTATTTCTGTAAGTGGATATTGGTGTTAATATTTCACTTTATCACCATATGATTTTTTGGATTTACCTAAATATTTTTCTTAGATAAATTAAGATTTGATCATTTATTTAACAATGTTAAAAAACATTTAATAATTGGTCTGCTTTAACAAATAAGAGTTTATTGTGAAAGTCTTTATTGAAATCTTACTTATGTAAATTAAGTAATAATTTAAGAATGAAAGTAGGAACACAGCTGTATATGTCAATTAGACAGATATTTGATGAAAATTTGTCATTATAAACCTTTAAAATACATATGTATATTATTGCAAAATAACTGCTAAGCTTTAAAAATATTTTGTAGGATTCTAGGTTAACTCCAATTTGGCTCATTGGCTAATAAAGACTTCAGTAACCAGTGCGGAGAAACAAGG